ATCGATGAAAAAATTTCAGATCGCATCTCTAGTATAACATCTTTAATTAGATTTTTTAAGAATGTATCATCTTTCGTAATTACATTTTCTAGCTTTTTGTTAATCTGTTTCAACTGTTCTGCAACATCATAATTATTGCTTTCAGCCATAGTTTCAATTGTTACGTCTAATTTTGTATTTTTTGAATCTTCGAATGTAGTAATTGTCTTTTGTTTTTTTATATTAAAACTTGTCTCTAAATCACTTATGCTACTATTTTCATTCCTGCTCGTGAAAAATCTCAGTCGAACGAACTCAGCAATTTTCTGTGTTTAAAATGTTCTCGTTGCTATCGAAGGATCAACCTTTCTAGAATTTGTTAATAATTATTGCATATCTTACTTTAAAGAGTAAAAACATGCATCCAAAGTGCCTTAATACTGCCTCAAGATTGTCAATATTAGACGGTATTGAGCAAGTGTGCCAATATCTAATATCAACCGACTTCCTACTATGCCAAAATTCCATATAAAGGTAACTTTCGGGCATTTTGCACCTGCACTCTAGCAATGGCAGACCGTCTGCACGTGAAATTTTGTTACGTCATTAGCAATGAGTTACCGTATGACTGCCGAGCGGGTACAGCTCAAAATACCGAATAGTAGATTTTGATAAGATTATGATAAAGGGCAGCAGATGCAATAAAAAGGTTATGTTCCTTATAACCTTTTACCTCATAAAGGCGTGTTTGAAGGCTTTACACCCCCACCCCTTTTGAGGCCTCAAATAGTGTAAAACATGCGCTATTTAGGCCCCAAACACTGTTTTTTCGTTTGAGAAATGTTGTTCAAAATATTGATCACTTCGGCGCCACCCCCATTAAAAAGGTACATCAAGGGGGTTACACAGGGGGCATGTACCCCCTTTTGTTTGGGGGTTTGAAGTGGGGCAGTAGCCCCTCTATTCGCCGAGAAGACTTGGGACTTGTGGGGGGTGGGGGCTAAATGGCCTCAGGTCGATTTAAAGGAACGCCGAAAATCTTAGACTTTATCTCAATCAATTGAGAAGTTGGTGCACCTTGAAATCAGTTTTGATGGGGAAAAAACAACGCAAAATAGAGATGTTTGGCAATTTTGAGACGCCCCCCTCCCCATTGCCATGGTAACCGGAAATTTAAAATTGAGCATGCTATTCCACAGGCCATGGTCCACATTTGTGCCCAGTTTGATCAGTATTGAAGCATTTTTTTATAGTTTCATGGCAGTTTGAACTTGTAACAAGAGGCTTAATTATAACTTAATGAAAACAGCCATTTTTCGCATTTTGCTCATGCAGTCAAAGGTTAAGACGATACCGGCATGCTTGGACGGCATAAGCCCTCGGGCCAATATTTTATTAAGTGCGTCGATATGTTTCTTAAGGCAAACTTGCCCTGTAAAAACCTATTATTAATGTTATCTAAATATGTTTTTGTTTTATTTATTCTTGTCTTTTTTAGAGATGGGTCTCCTTGAGACATGTATTTAAAGTTTTTTATCGTCAATTTTGATGGTTCTACCCTGCTTCCGACCCTGCACACACTTTATTTCATCCATAGTGTGATTTTAAATCAAATGGGAAGTTAAATCTCTGTATTTGCCCGTAGGAAAAGAACAGTAATAACACTGAAAATGCATTGTTGAATCTGAAATATTTGAATAAATATCATATAAACAGTACATTATCAGAAAAATGAAATTGAATCGATAAACAGACGTGAAAATTAGACAAAAATATCGATTTTCCATACTATTGTGCTCATTCTGTTTTGCAATACTCTTTACACTTAAGTTGGGCTATTTTGCAATACTCTGTGCACTTAAAATCAATACTCGGTACACTTTCTTGTATCTTTTTTGGCCTGTATCTTTTTGTACTTTCACACTTTTTGCCTGAAATTTGGACAAGGCATACTTGGATTGTGAATAAAAAAATTGCTCGATTCAATTTTTTTTATATTGGTAATATAATAATTTCTAACGATTCTACAGTATCGCGGTCAGTATTTTCTAGTGAGCAGCGGATCGTTTAGGGCTAGTTTAATCAATTTTACAAATACCTGTAATACTTTTACGTCTTTTAGAGCTACAAAAATACCTCTAGATATATAAAACCCGTTGAGATAAATGAAATAGCCATTAGTTTGGAAAATATCGTTGCTGAACTTACCTTCGTTCCCCGTTCAAAGTCGCGAAATGGGATGAAAGTCCTCATAATATCGAGCAATATCCGGGGTACGGTATACCGCAGTGATACATTAAATCGGTAAGAATATTGAGATATTTGTTTGACTATCAGTTTCAAATGCAAACTATAAATATGGAAAACAACTATGTGTAGTTTATGTGTATTGTTTTAACGTGTTTGTCTGATATTTTAGTTGTAAAAGCCATGTACACTTAGTGTCGCTTCATAGCAACTGATTTAAAACGTGAGCGGTAACTGAACGAGATATGGCAAAGCGCATGCTCGCGCACTGACTTCCGCTCTATCGAAATATTGCATAGACGTATAGCGAAAGTTCGTAAGTGTCTTTGTTTCTTTTTATGGTAAAACTACTTTCAATCCGTATTGTTTCCGAGGTTATTATAGATAATAGCCGAGGCAGTTCCGAATGCAGTGATTTTATACATATTCTAACACGACCCGCATTATTCCCAATTGAACATAGAAGAACCGAAAGTGTGTGTTATTATGCAATAAAATCACAGTTTGACATTCTATATTTAGACATGTGACGTAATCATTATGCACGTGACGTAACACTTAAAAAATTGACGCGCTGAAAATAAGTACGGTAACAAATCAGGCGCAATATAGGTAAATATCAGGTACGGCAGAATTTATTTCTTGATGTCGTGTTAGAATCGAAATAATATATCCAAAACAGTTATTTTATCGATTGATGTCATAAAAGTTACATAAAATACCAGATTTGTCTTCATTTCTCTCTAACCTTAGCTCATTCTTCAAAACATCATCCCAAAGTAGTTCAAGCTTCATTTCCTTGTCCGGTAGACCCCAGCTTGTAACCTCTATAGAACACTCCTGATTATCGAATGGGAAGTAAGTCGCATCTACACTGCAATCAACCTGACGATAAAATAATGTTTGACACAGTTATGAAACAATTTAAGTAAGTAAACGTTATGTACCGAACGAAATTTGTTAGTGCTTCGAGTCCAAATAACATAATAACTTTATCGATGTTAAGAAAACCATTTTTTATGCAAAATTTCTAATTATTATGAAAATAATATATTAAGCCAAATACAAATTTAACAACTTTACATGGCATACAGAAAATAATATGCCCGATTTTATTTTTTGCATTAATTAAGGTCACCGTTTCCATAGTGTAACAGATCATCAAGGCAAATAACTCATCACGCTTAGAAAAAACGAAAATGATCATTATAAACTTTACATCACAATTATCATTTGTATTATAGTTTGGGGACCTTTTTATTGAAAATGTGAGAGTTAAATCGTATACACAAACATGCACAGTGCAGGTATTAGATACCTGCTCAACACTAACCGGGAATCCTAGAGTTACCGGGAATAAAAAAGAGCATATTGATTGGCCCATTTTTTTTTGGGCTGACTTATTTTAACGACAGAGGCAGGGATAACGATACAGATGCTATACGAGTGATAACATTTTTCTGGCGTTTCTTATCGTTACGACAGGGAACGTGTTTTGTTTTACCTAAAATACAAAATAAGTATTCTCTCAGGGATTGTTTGAAATAAATAAATTGTTGCCATCATTCATATATAGAAAATAAAGTATTTGTGTTCTTTACAGTATTATATGTAATGCATATCTCGAACAAAGTAAAACTAATTGTAGCATTAAAGTGTGCTTCTAAAACTGGCTTGAATATTATGATATATAACAGTCTTATGATATTACCTTTGTCGAAAGTACTGGTTCCCATGCAACTTTCCCGTTATATCTTATTCTGTAAATCAAGTGATCGTCACTAACAAGACCAACATTTTGATGTCTGAAATATATCAAATTTGCCATATTAGACACAATGTGTTTTAAAGTAAGACCTATCTGCCAAGAGTTCGGAAGAAATGGCCATATTTCGTCACTTTCCGTGTTGGAGTTGTGTAAATTGAACGAACGTCCTTGTGACTAATATGTTCGAACGCATAATAAATAAAGGCATATTTAAATTTTAGCTTTAGCAAAGTTTGTTTCGATGTAATATTATGAAATGCCAATTAGTTAAGCTCCAAATACCAAATAAAACAAATTTGAATACAAGTGAACATATGTTAAAGGGTGTGTAGTTTTATATTATGATATAATTTAATAAAACCTGTTGACGGCAACATTATATTTTTGACATACTCTTAAGAACGATTCTCGAAAAAGTTTATCATAGAATGCCTCTGTTATTTAATACACATAAATATTGTGCGGAAACAGAACAAAAAATATTATATTGCTATTTTTAGAAGGTTGTTAACAGTATAGCAATGGTTCCTTTTGCGTCATTCGCTTTTTTCAAAATTCAAGCAATAATTTTTGCAGCTCATATAAAACTTTATACATTTTTTTTTACTTTCAACTTAAAATCTGTATATAAACTGACGTGACTGTAGTTTGGATAGAACAATAGATTCCTGGGTTGAATGCCAGACACTTGAACCACTTAGCTACTGATGCACTCAGGTCAGGTATGTACTTCGAGTTATGAACAGTTTGAACACAAACGAACAGTTTGTCACACCGACATTGTTACGGACAAATTATTTCCAGATTTACAAGTGTACATTTTTACTCTAATAAACACTAAATTCTACGTTACCGTACTCTTTCCTATATTTTATTATGTGCTTTACTTTTCTATTTCTTCAATTAAAATGTCGAGGAATTTCCTATAAGGATACTCTAAGTAAATGTGCACATATATCCATGTAAAACAGACCAGTAAAGTGAACCTATATTTAAAGGACAACTCATAATGAATATCTGCCGGTATTCAATTCCTTAATCAATTATACTAGTTTGACATTGCTTGATTAACTAATACAAAACATAAATCAAGACTTACTCATTACTAATAAGTATTTCCGGTTTCCATATTTCTGTTTCAAGTGCATGGATATATTCTGTGTCGTCATAAACAATTGGATTCCACACCAACCTCTCGTCTTCCCATAGCTGTACGAATCGAAAATATATGTTTATTCTTTATCATTACTTCGTATGAAATCGTTTATTTTTTGATTTTACACATTATGATACTACTGTAGTATCCAATATATTAGACAGTGGTGCGGACTGAGAATAACCTATCCATGATCATGCAATGGTGAAAGCCATGAAAGGAAAATAATCCGAAAAACACGTTTATTCACACGAGTACCAGTTCAAACATGGTACCCATTCAAATATATAAAATTCCCTAATTGTACAATTTAATATTGCATAGAATATTAAGATATACAAATTAGAATAACAAAACAAATACAATGTTGTCTTATGTCATGCCGTTAATTGTTCTCACAATAAGCATAACAATTATGACTTCTTGATATTCTATGTATGTAATATAGCTTTGTATTACATGGACATCAAACATTTACTTGAATAAGATATCACCAGTTGAGAACTTGAAAGAGTAAAACATTGAACATAAGGGCACCTTATGCCATATTCATTCATATTTGTATTTTTAAGAAATGTCAAACAATGTTTTTATTTTGGATAAAAGCATATTAGACATAATTAACCGAAGAAAGTAGCACTGAATGTTCAATAATATGTCGTAAAAGAAGCAAACTATAAACAATGTAATATTTTGACTTCTTTACAAAATACCAATGCTTCATTATTATATCTATTTCCAACAGAACAAAAGAAGCCAAAGATAGTTCAGCTATATGGAAAATGGCCTTTTTTGGAAACTGTAACAGGATATTAAAATAAAAAGATTTTGATTTATAAAAATGATAGAATTTCTGGGGCATAAAGGGCCTTTAATATTTCTTATTTCCTTTAACTCTAGGTGTCAAAAATTACTTACAACAGTTAACCAACCTGTGCACGAGAACGATTGTTCATCAATGTCCTAGAAAATGAGAGCATGAAAAAGTAAACAACTGAGGAGCAAAGAAAAACGTGACGAAGTATGAATAAAAACGAAAAATGAATAAATACATTGATACTGTATGTTTACAAACCCACCCAAGTTTATTTTTCAGATATTGCTACATACAATTGTACAAATTTGTCAAGGAAATAATACGTAAAGGCATGCGTTCATTTATTTTGTTTTGAATATGAAAACGATACTAACTCAAAATCTAAAATGCGTAATTATTTGTCTTAAAATTTTGAAAAGTATTTATTTTACATAGGCATTGGTTGAATGTCTGATGCCCATCTGATACGTTCGGTCATTTTGTTTACAGAGTTATACAGTATTTAATGTATAGATTGCGTTTCAGACTTATTGTTCACAAAAAAGTTAATAATATGCTGTTACATTGTAGTAACACATACGCCGTTATATATAAATTATTTTCATTTGACTACAATAATTGAATTTTTTTTTATAAATAACGGTTTTGTAAACTTGTCTGATCGAAGTTATCATAGCAAACTGCCGTTGATACTCGTCCATATAAACTACAAAAGTCTTTATGATTATAACGGTAGCAATCACACAGTAACGAAGACCGGTGATGTCATTTCAACTTCATGGATTTCCGATTTCATCTTCGTGACTTCACAATTTTAACTTCGTGAATTCACGTTTTTAATTTCACGATTTCAACTTCACGAATTCACGATTTCAACTTCATGAATGTACGATTTCAACTTAACGAATTCACCTATAATTTCAGCTTCACAAATTCACGATCTCAACTTCCTGAATTCACGATTTTAACTTCAGGAATACACGATTCTTACTATCGTGAAGTTGAAATCGTTTATTCATGGAGTTGAAATTGTAAATTCACGAAGGTGAAGTCGTGAATTCGTGAAGGTTAAATCGTGAATTCTGGAGATGAAATCGTGAATTCATAAAGTTGAAATCGGGGATTCATGAAGTTGAAATTTCCATATCGGCCTTTCGTACACAACACTCTACAAGACTTTTTAGTTCTTTATTCGATTGAAACAAACAGTAGGAGACACGTATACAGATAATATTAACGACATGATTGTCCAATAAAAATCACCGTTACAAACAGCAATATTTTTAATACAATATATCATCAGAGGATATCTCTTCAGTCACATTTTAGGACTTTTTGCGATAAAGCTATTTGATATGAAATAATTACTTCTGGATATTCGATGGAAATAATGTTTGAAAAGAAGGAAAGGGAAAACAACAATATTTTATTAAACATACCACGTCGTTTATAGCTAGAAGGTTATAACCAATTTTAGCTATAGTGGAATCGTTTGGTCTGGCCATTCGATCGTAGGCAAAAGAGCTTAAAACAGATGACCTTATTGACCTTTCACCTGTATAACTGTAACCATTGATGCACGAAACCAATCCTGAAATGGTAACAATTTTTGTATCAAAACGTTTAATACTATTTGAGACACTATAAACATGGGACAAAACATATCTTTTGTCCAAAGTATAAACACAAATTTACGGGCGCTTATTTCCAAAAATTGATGATTATATTTACGTCTACTTGTTTTCTTTTAGGTTACACCACAACATCTGGACTTCGATTTGTACACTAAATAGACTTAATTATAATGCGTTTTGTTTTAAATATCTTCATAAATAATTATTATTAATAATACAATAAAATAAGATAACAACAAACTTATAGATAAGTAAAAAAGTCAACAGCCTTTGTAGAATCGAGCATAAAAATGTAATTTGATATAAGTTCTCATTGATTAGGCGCTTTTAATTTGTTAACTTTATACTTTCTTATTAATATTGTACATATACTGTTATTTTCTTACTTTATTTTCATATAAAATCTAAGCGTTCAATTCCCTCCCCTACCCTACCCAACCGCACCTTACCCCACCACAGCTCACCCCATCCCATCACACCCCTCTCTCTTAAGAACAGAATAATGGATAAATAGAAATAAAAAAGATACAGAATATCAAAATTAAAATAAGGTTTTAAATGAAAATAACAGAACACGATGTCAGCAACAAAGCATACCTGAAAAAAACAGCAAACATTTTAATGATTTTATAGTAAAATCCATTTCAGTTATACTTTTTAAACGTAAATTGAATTCATTTAACATTTAAAACATAGTATTTAAATATTTTTATGACACCGTTAATTATTTTACTAAACAATGGTTTGCACAAATACAATAGTCTAACCATGCTACGATAAATCAATTGTAATAAAATGTCTTTTTAAACATTACAAAAACGAAATTATTGTATGGTTAAGAAACGGTTACGTTCGAATTGAGCTGAAAAGGTAGTAAGTTGAACTTCAAACTTTCCTTAAAAAAGAACACACATTCGCAATATTTAAAGAGTCAGCAGAAATGCAGGTGTTATTAGATCATCTTTTTATTATAATTCCTTATCTTTTTCTTATTATTTTTCTTATTATTTTTTTTTAAAAACTGTTTTTTTTACATGAATATATGAGCTTAATGCACGCCAAATTAATATATAATAATTATGCTTACTATAATTTTATATACAATATCAAGATCTGGGAGGTAAAATAAGGCCTGTTGGTAGGTCAGCTGGCGAACCTTTCTACCTTTACTATATTTATTTATAGTATACATGGATGAAATTAAAAAAATAAGTTTGTTGTTTTATTGAAAATAAGATATTTAAAAAAACATTTTGAGTAAATATAATTTATAAGTGAAAAAGAAAATTCTATTTATAAAAATCAGTGGGCGTGGTCATGTACATGTATACTATCCAAGCCACGCACCGACTGTCTTTGATATCAATCATATTCACAGACATGTGCAATTTTGAAATGTTTGTAATTAAAAAGCTTTTGCAGAACCGAAGTGCGTATTAACGTCAATATAAATAACACAATCACTTATGATAAAAATAAAATAAATAAATAAACAAAAAAGTGTCCAGCTGTGCCGAGACAGAGACTGTCACAACCAATGCCGTGACCAGGATTCGAACCTGGGTTGTCGCGGCCACAACGCGAAGTACTAACCACTATACGATCACGTCTATCACCGCTGAACTGATAAAATATTTTGAGTATGGGATTAAACAGTCATTGAAGCAATATAGTACTTAAACTACTTGACGTGTAGCATAAGCTTTAATTTATGGAGTGCCATTTAGAATAATTATCGTCTTGTAGGCTGGTACTTATAAAACACAACATAACGCGTAATCCATGTACAACTTAAAGTAGTTTACAAATACGATCAGTTTAATACTTTATTCTTCTGAGGAGACATAAAATTTAGTGGTCCTCAAGATCATTTTTTATTTCTTTATACATAAAATCAAGCATATATTTGAAAAATGATTAATATGCTAGTGTGTGTAATCAATTGACAAGATTTTATTAAATGTCTATGTAGCTACATTGATTTTTTAAAATAAACTTTTCATCCGAATGACTAGTACATAATTTGATCATTGGTTACAAATAAATTTATAGAATAAATTTTAAGACAAATTGACAATGTTTTCTTCACCCTTGGGAATTCTTGGGGTTATAGAGAACACAATTTTAGTCCTGTTCTCACAGATTTGAGATGCGTACGTAAGTTCTTGATGCGTGTTTGTGGTCGCTCAGTCACGTCTAGCACGTAATACCTTAATGCGTGTCTGTGGTCGCTCAGTTACGTCCTGCACGTAAGTCATTGATGCGTGCATGTGGTCGCTCAGTTACGTGTCGCACGTAAGTCCTGGATGCGTGTATGTGGTCGCTAAGTTACCTTCCGCACGTAAGTCATTGATGCGTGTCTGTGGTCGCTCAGTTACGTGTCGCATGTAAGTCCTAGATGCGTGTATGCGGTCGCTCAGTTACGTCATGCACGTAAGTCATTGATGCGTGTCTGTGGTCGTTCAGTTACGTGTCACACGTAAGTCCTTGATGCGTGTATGTGGTCGCTAAGTTACCTTCCGCACGTAAGTCATTGATGCGTGTGTCTGGTCGCTCAGTTACGTGTCGCATGTAAGTCCTAGATGCGTGTATGTGGTAGCTCAGTTACGTGTCGCACGTAAGTCCTTGATGCGTGTATGTGGTCGTACATTTACGTTCCGCACGTAAGACTTTGATGCGTGTATGTGGTCGCTCAGTTACGTCTCGCACGTAAGTCCTTGATGCGTGTATGTGGTCGCTAAGTTACCTTTCGCACGTAAGTCCTTGATGCGTGTATGTAGTCGCTCAGTTACGTCCCGCACGTAAGTCCTTGAAGCGTGTATGTGGTCGCTCAGTCACGTCTCGCATGTAAGTCATTTATGCGTGTATGTGGTCGCTCAGTTACGTCTCGCACCTAAGTCCTTGATGTATGTTTGTGGTCGCTCAGTTACGTCTCGCACTTTAGTCATTGTTGCGTGTATGTGGACGCACGATCGATCAAATCAATCAATCAATTAATCAATCAATCAATCAATTAATACCATTCAATCCCCATATACAATATTCCACTCTAAAAAGTACACATTTTACTGAACATTTAAACACATAAATCTCTGATAAAAAAAACTTACAGAGGCATACCTCCAAATTCATGCTAATTTTCATGAAATTTAAAAAAAAATCAAATGAAAGTGAAATATTGTGAATTGAACATAGAACATTATTACCACATTGCAAGCAGCACTTGCAACCCACGTAAATTATCAAAATAGCTCAAAATAAGTAAAAATAGCCCTTAATGCGTTAGTAATATGGTGATGAATACTGCAAAATCAGTCTTAAATCGTCCATGTCATGTAAATTATTACTTAAACTTTAAATCGTTTATTTTTTCTTAAAATCTAAGTACAATTTTTTCAGTTTTCAGTTTAATCTTATTGAAATATTTCGACTCATCTGGAGGCATACAGCTTTAACAGTAAACACTCGCAAAACTAACAATGCCACAACCTGTACTTGTAACATCCTTACTATATATTAATTTATCTTAAGATACAATCTAGTTGAGTCCAAAATGTTTTATAATAACATTTTAAATTTTACATTTAATACTGAAATGAAAGTTAATTTGTAAGAACCTGTATATGTATAATCTTTCGTTTTCCGATACGCTTTGTTTCATGTTGTTCAGGTTATTATGAAAAGTTTAAACATTCGAGGTCAACTATTAACTATACTTAATGTGTTGGCTTAATATTATGTATTTTTTCTCACCTAATTGTAACTATATATTATTATCAGCATAGCCGTTTTCCATTATGTATTTGTATATATTTATGTTTGTAAACTGCTGATGTTTCCCGCTATTGAAGAACATGTGTTTTTTTGTAAATAAATCATCTGAATATCTGAATTTTCATGAACGCAACATACAGCATCATGCACACTGGTCACATCATTCTTAGCACCGCTCACAACACTGTAAACATTTTTCGTATGCAAACGTTGCTTAAATAGAATTGGATACATTATTATAATGTCTAAATATCTAAAGAATTAAGCAAGCGTTCCAAAGGTTCAGCCTAAAGTGGTTCACGAAAAATAATACTGATATTATTTGTTGGGTTCATATTGATTTGATCCCAAAATACAATTACAAATAATAATCATTAAATTTCTAAATTCAAGAAAGAGATGTTACATATTATTAAAGATGTTTTTCAGTATAATTTCTACTAACGGAAATTAGAATTAGCGCTTTAAGAAAATAATCAGCGTAAAGAATGTTAGCAAAGTTACCAAGAAAAGAGAATATATTTGATTATTTTCTTTTTCTTCGAATAATATGTTCAGTCCAATTTCCTCCTACGATATTCTGTAATGGAACATGATTGCACAAAACGGTAAAATATTGATAAAAATGTCCTTCTTAATTAAACAAATGACTATATGCATAATTTATTTGTATATGTGTGTTCTCACATGGGAAAGATCTTATCTTAATATTTTGAGGCGTATTACTAGATTTTGTATCACTGATATTGAATTATTCCATTTAATATGGTTCTTCATAGACCATTTCTTTCAACCGTTCTCTTATTTCGGAATTATTATTAGAGTAAAAAAAATCCGACTTCTGCAGTGACATTGTTTAGGTCATTAATTTCCACACTTTACTGTTGACAGATTACCAAAGAATACCCTTTGTGAATATTCCCAGCCACAAGCGGGCAGTTTGGTAGATGTAAGCTTGTCGGAGGGCTCTGTTCACATGATAGCCGCCGACATCCATGCCGGGATTCAATACCAACAGTGTTGAGTTATTCGTGATCAAATTATAAGAGCCGAATTGTCGTTTTAATCTAAATATCACTGTCACTTATAAACCTCAAATGAAATAAGAAAATGGAATAAAAAATGTTCAGCTGTGCCGAGACAGCGACTGTCACAACCAATGCCGTGACCAGGATTCGAACCTGGGTTGTCGCGGCCACAACGCGAAGTACTAACCACTATACGATCACGGCTATCACCGCTGAACTGATGAACTTTATATAGTATGGCATTAAGTAAGCATTAAAGTAATATGGTACTTAAACTTCTATACTTGTTGTTAAAGGTTGTTTTCTTAAAGCTTATGGAGTGTCATTTTGAATAACTATAGTTTTGTAGGCTGGATAAGCTGCTTGTTTCTTATGAAATACAACACACACAACAAAGAGTTGTTTATAAATACAATCAGTATGATACTTTATTTTTTTTAAGTCATGTAAGTAGACATTAAGTTCAGTGGTTCTTATTTCTACGACATCCTTTCCCCGTCATCACATTAAGTAAACCCCACAAAACATGAGCCATTCAATGAGCATGATCTGGATTGCGGGTAACTAATATCTGCACTCTAGTTAACACACTGTATATATGTTGTATCATAGTTTGGAGACCTTTCTGTTGAAAATGTGTCAGGGTTAAATCGTATACATATACATGCACAGTGCGTTAACTGGAGTGCGGCTATTAGTTACCCGCACTCCAGAGCATGCCCATTGATTGGCTCATTTTTGCTGGGGTTTACAAATTGTGACGGCAGAGAAAGGGAAAGCGACAGAAATATCATATTCAGATGTTCGTTCATTGGTTCATTTTTGCCGGGGTTTCATATTGTGACAACAGGGAACGTGTTTTTATGTTTGACTATGATACAAAAGAGAAAGAACACCAAAACACTCGGCAATCTGAT